TGCCATCACAGGGACATGATTTCTCACTTTACTAGACCTGTTCCAGAGTGTTGTATCATTACAAACCGCGACTGACTGAATCTATAAGTGATAGCATTACTTACTCTCAAGGGTTAATCATGACCTGCTTTCCTTGGCAAACTTCAAACTTCAACTTTATTTAATAAAAATATTGATTACAGTAGACTGACCTGCAAAATAACAATTGCTAATCTAGGTGGATCAGTTAAAAGAGAAATTTTTTTCACCATGATTTTCTATTTCATCATTTACTCGTTTACTTATGTGTGTGTGCGGTAACCCAGCTTACTTTGTTAGAGAACACTGACAGGGACCTTACAAGGGGGCAGTGTGGACACCAGATCAACAAAAATTCAGCAAATCTATGAGCAGTGCGTATGTTTCAGTTGAATAGGTTTTTAATGATATAATCAACTGTTTCAAATTTTTGGATTTTAAAAAGAACCCTGAAGCTGGTTTAAGTGCTATGGGTAAAATGCACATAGTTTGTGCCTTGATACTAAACGCCCCCACTATGTTATATGGTTCTGTTACCTCAAAGTACTTTGGTATCAATCAATCAGCTTAGGATGATTATTTCAATTATTAAGGATAATATATTTAAGGGATTACACTCACTTCCTTACACAAGCAAGGACATACATCGGGATGCATCTTCAAAATAAAATGTTTCAGCTTCATCAAATTTTAGACATTAGAAATCATTGATGAACGAATACAGTGTAACAATCGAATATAAATAAAGTTATCATTTTGATGCTGGGCAACTGAAACTGAAATAACCTTAAATTTTACTTATCTGTTATAGGTTTCTGTTTTCAATCGACAGTACAGTCCATTCTGGTTTCTACATGTGCGTGAGAATCCAGGCTTATTTAAACTAATAGTGATCCACAAGACTGCACCCGTATAAGCAATACCGTATCTAGTATTATCTTTTGGTAACAGCAGTGAATTGTCTTTTGTTAAGGGATAGGTGTTAAAGCATCTAGAGTAGACGTTCTTGGATAGTAATTCTGGCAGGGTCTCATTGTGCGCTTTATAGAAAAGCTTAAAGTATCCATCTTGTAGAGTATCACAGAGTAAGCCAGTGGCAGGGTGTCCAGTTCCTATTTTTTCCTATTTTTTGGGCCTATTCCCATTTTCTCCTATTTTTAAACTAAAACCTCCTATTTTTTAGCTGGTGAAGCCAAAATTTGTTACAAAATTGAAGATGGAGTTATAGTTGTGTGTGTTTTTGAGTGCAATTTATCATAAAGCAAGTAGCATGTTGACTTTGATGTTCTAATATTTGTAAAAATGACAGTTACGTTTGTTCTTTCCGTGACCTCTATTGCCTATTAGAGTTCTGTTAACATTTTTTTGTTACTTTTTGTATAATTTTCTCGTGCACCTGCATGTATTGTATGAAGTGTTATAGTCCTCATGACTATTGAATATTAGTAAAATCCAACTAGTGGTCTATTATCAGTGCTGCATTCTGATTGGTTGAGCTACTACTTGGCTATCTGTTTTAGCCCACTAGTACCGAAAAGTGCGGGCTTTTTGGCAGCAAAAAAGGATTGAAGTCTAACTTTAACTAGGTAAAATTTTATTATTCTCTATATTTTTGACCAATTAGTTTGATTTTACTAAGACAATTATTCCTCTCGCCCTCATGGCCTCTGAGTCAATAGCACATTCGCCCGCTATTGACTCAGAGCCCATTCGAGCTCGAGGAATAATTGTTAAATATTTTGCATAGCCCACTGAAACTGCACTTCAGTATCTGTACATGTTATATTTTAGTTTGAAGTCTTGCTCGCTGTTATGTTCATCTTTGAAACTGAAAACAGGATGAAGTTGTCCTCTCACAACACAGGCCAGATAAATCATCCAATCAGCTTCTTGTTTAAAAAGCCAATCACTAGCTGATTCTGGATGCTAAGTGAAAAGAACAGACTAAAGTTTAGTTTACGGCACTAGCTCTCTTGGTGAGCCCTTGTTAACAGCTATACCTAAGCAACTGGTGAAGGATCCAATATTTTGGTTGCAAAATCGGTCTTACAGTCATAGCTAAGCAGATTGTTATGTTCTTCTTAGACCTTAACCATGACACACTTACAATCTGGTACCAAATAGATCAGTGTCATTTTGCATACACTGCAGAGAGCCCGGTTCCGTTCTTAAAATTATGCGGTCTTTTGACTCAAACAAACATATTCTCAACCAGGCAACCAATTGCAGATTAATGGAAGGAAAGCTTTCCACAGGACTTTTTTCTATATCCTTCAATGACAACTCAATCGTAAGAAATTTGTATCCTAAGAAATTTCACTCTTTAAAGCTTTTGAAAGATTTGCCGTCAACTTGAAGGGAATTTCCATATGATCACCTTTGATTATAGAACCACGCTCAACCTGTAGTCAATCATATCATTCTGATTTAATACAGCCTAACTGAGCCAATAAACTAAATGTTACTGATCATTTTCACTCCTTCTTAGCCGCGAAAGTTGATTTATGTCTTCCTCTCTCCGCCCAAAACAATACCCATAAATGCTGCTCTTGCCTGAGCTCTGTTTACTGGGCAATAAAAATTAACACACTTAAGTTGGAGCAAAATGGCTATGGACAATAGGTCCATAGCCGCTTTTATTGAAACAAAGAGAACAAAAATGAATTCTGTTATAATATGTTCGCCCAGTAAAGGTGCGGGCCAAGAAAAACGCCAAAAGCAATGACACTTAAGGTGCATTGCTGCCCCACCCCAGGCAAGAGCAGAAGCAAGGAAGAAATGCATCCCCCGCTATACAACAAGCTATTGACACTAATCATTTCAGAAAAAGGAAACCTCTACTCCTAAGATGGTATACCAGCCGCCCCTGCAAGCATGGTACCACAAAATTAAGTTATCAGGCCACTAAGACTTAAATCATTCAATTCGTAACACAAAATTGGAAACTTATCCTGAGAAAGCCGCCCATGCAAACTGAATCAGGAGTTAAACTGTTGATGACAAGAATGAAAACCACTCCTGAAAAAGCCGCCCATGCAAACTGAATCAGGAGTGAAACTGTTGATGACAAGGATGAAACCCACTCCTGACAAAGCCGCCCATGCAAGCTGAGTCAGAAAACTAGTTATAAGATTGTAAAAATTTTGTTTTTGGCTCAATGGAACATTGGTAAAAAGAGAAATAAGATTATTAGAGTGTGACACAACAAGGTAGGACAGCCACCCATGCAAACTGACCCACCCTGCTGTAAATTAATATAATGACCCCGAATAAATGTAAAATCTAGAAATAAAGGATGGTATAAGTTTCTGTTTGCTAGATGAATCCTTGGAAAACAAGAAAATTGAGAGTAACAACAAAGTGAGGCAGCCGCCCATGCAAACTGACCCACCTTGCCAGTAATTACGAGCCCAATTATTGGTTCAGGAGCTTAGACTGGGAACCCTGATATAGCGCAGAAAAGCATTGGACTTCCAGCACCCTAACATTCTAATCTGAGCATCAGAAAACCCCCGATCCGCTGCATAGGAAGCCGCACCAATTCGGAAACTATGACCCTTATAACGGGAAGGATCTAAGCCACACAAGTGACAAGCCCTTAGAAGTTGGCTGGAGAAGACTGATCTTGAAACAGGCAACCCACCTTAAATACTTGGACAGCAATACAACTGGACAGGTGGAATTGGGCTGCCGAGAAAGAACCACAGAAAAGGGGCGTGAATTGTAGCTATGCTTAAAATCCCCAAACGTGAGTTTAAAAGCCTGCAAGTCCCCAGATGGGGAAATCA